AATATAATCACCAGTTTGGAGGGAATGAAAACGGCTCGTCATGACATGTATTAAATTTTCAAGTGAAAAATCAACCACTACAAGCCTATTGGTCCGCCATCGGCAGAAAATTAAAAAGGAGCAAGAAAAATATCACTCTACAAGGTATATTGTTCGGTGTCTTGTTAGTGTAGATAGTTTCTCATCTTCTCATACGCGTACAAACACCTCTACATGTATGTGTTCAATACACTCCGTGTCTACTGTTGAAGATTTGGGACTGCCATAGTTACACACTGACAACAAGGGACGGACGAGGTTGGTTTGGGAAGATAAGTAGTACCGGTACTTGGGAAACGAATAGGGGTGACAGAGAAACGAAATACTACATGGGTGATGGGCAGATAGAGAGGCAGTGAGCCAGAAAGAGAGAGAGAGAGAGATAGAGAGAGATAGAGAGAGAGAGCTAGATATGGGGCTTGGGTAGCTATGGCAGATATGGGCGCGCAAGTAGCGACTCGGCCAAGGAACAAACTGTGTCATACGGGATGCAGGCCACATGGGCAAAGGAGATATGGTGGACTAGTTGCCGTACATGACTGTACTGCAGACAATACTACATGCTGAGAGATGACTAACATGTGTTATCTATACTGTACTATGTACGTGTATGCAGTACATTCAGTGTATAGTATGTACATGTATATACATACTGTGCAGTCTGTGTGCTCCTACAGCCTACATTCCACATCACCAGACTGTAGGGTAGGGCTGGCATGGTCTACATTCCACACCACCAGACTGTAGGGTAGGGCTGGCATGGTCTACATTCCACATCACCAGACTGTAGGGTAGGGCTGGCATGGTCTACATTCCACACCACCAGACTGTAGGGTAGGGCTGGCATGGTCTACATTCCACATCACCGGACTGTAGGGTAGGGCTGGCATGGTCTACATTCCACACCACCAGACTGTGGGGTAGGGCTGGCATGGTCTACATTCCACATCACCAGACTGTAGGGTAGGGCTGGCATGGTCTACATTCCATATCACCAGACTGTATGGTGGGGCTGGCATGGTCTACATTCCACACCACCAGACTGTAGGGTAGGGCTGACATGGTCTACATTCCACACCACCAGACTGTAGGGTAGAGCTGGCATGGTCTACATTCCACACCACCAGACTGTAGGGTAGGGCTGGCATGGTCTACATTCCACACCACCAGACTGTAGGGTAGGGCTGGCATGGTCTACATTCCACACCACCAGACTGTAGGGTAGGGCTGGCATGGTCTACATTTCACATCACCAGGCTGTAGGGTAGGGCTGGCATGGGATCAAGTATCGTACACAGTCAGCCGTACTCAATCCGCAGGTCACGCTCGACTTCTACAGCCACACTAGCAAGCAGCCTGGCCAGGCGATCATACACAAACTCTCGACGGGGCATTATAAGTGTGTGGAACTTCTTACTCCTGCGTACAGCTCTGACAAACTGCATACTCCCCTCATCGTCGTCGTTCTCAAGACGGAATACACTGTTTTCGACAGCAAGAGAGCTGACAATAGGGCATGATAGTAGAATACTAGCAAGCACAGGAAGCGACTCGGAAGTGAGAGTGCTAGCATGCACTGTCAGCGCTTCCAATGCTTTACACAACACAATGCTTGGTGCCAGAGTGAATAGGAGCATTTCGGACAGACCAGTCAGAGCTAACACGGCAAGGTGTCTATTGTTCACTGTGATAACACGCCTGATCACTGATACACCCGATGATGATAGCCCTGCACACTGAAATTGCAGTAATAACCGTGGCCGTGACACCAAGAGGGGGTACAGCATGGACAGACCTTCATCGCCGACATGAAAGTGCAGACCGGGGTTATGCAGCAGCTTGCAGGACGCCAGGATGACCAGGCATATGAGAATATTTGTGGTGATTTCCTGGCACTGAAAATGACCGATGTACAGCTGGTTGATACGGTGACAACTAACTATTGCCAGTACTAACTGTGCATACCCAGATGAGGACAACTGCATATCATACATGTTCAGTATGCGCAAAGTCGAACGGTTTGTGCGGATCACGTTACAGATGAGTGGCACTAGATTATTTGTTATTGCATTACACGAAAGCTCGACTTTCGATAATCCACAACACTGAACAAATGCTGGTGCCAGTAGCTCAAATGCACGATCGTCTAGCCGGCAGGCGCGAATGGAGATAGTGCCGATAGACATGTGATGGTCTGAAATCACAGATGATAGAAGGTAGCAATCCGCCGAAGAAAGGCAAAAGCTGCTAAAGTCGCAGCCATAGTGTAAGAAGGCTGCCTCTAAAGCAGGCGAGGGTGAATGTGTAGCATTGGCCACGTCACCTGTATCCGTTCCAGGCTGCGCATACACACGGCAAGCAAGTAACAGCAGTTGACGGCGAACAGGTGTGAGAACTTCGTGCATAGCCGAAACTGAATTTGATACCGAAGCAGTCATGACTGATTTCTCTTCTTGCGAGTGCAAGGCACATTGGTCAGAGTCAAGGGATGTGGATGGCTTGGAATGGAAATACTCAAGAAGGCGGGTTGATGCATAGGGATTGATAGGTTTCAAGGCGGTAGATAGCATTCTGATGCTAGCGCGGGGTACTTTGCGCCGCCACAGCCGCAGAAGAGCGCGAACGTAGTCCTGCAATGACGAAGCGAAAGAATGAGGAAGAACTTCTTCGATAGCCTGAGACACACTCACACCGTCCGCTAGTAGATCAGTGAGAACGCAAGCAGCCAGACTCTGGACGGCCGAATCGTCGAGATGTTCACACAGAACCTCTGTCACCAGCAGAAGATCGTCCTCGGAAGAGCGAAAGAAACGAGTCACACTTTCACATGCCTTCAGCTTGCGAATATCCTGCTCGTCCGAAACAGGCTGAGTGAGAATCGCTGCAATTAAGGCTTCCTTCGCGTCTGCAACCAGTTGTGATGCAAGCAGACACCAAAAAGTGCTCAAGTGACCAGTCAAAGCTCCCACCTGCCTCACGAGGAATTTAACGTCACTCGCATCCGGAACAGTGGCTGCAATGTACTGGGAAGCAAGGCATTCTTGAACCGAAAGATGGCTGAACTGCCATTGACCAACGCATGGATACGACAGTGACTCGCACGCCACAAGAAGACCAAGTGAGCGACTTTCCTTCGACACCTGCTGTTCATCAAGGTCACGGTCGCTGAACACCACCTTCTTACCAACTAGCATCAGAAATGCAAAATGACCCAACTCCAGGATCCTCTCCTTCAAGATACGAGGAACGGACGGCCAGTCTGGATACGCACTCTCAGTGTTCTGTCGAACGATACTCAGGATCAAAGACATGAAGATGCCGAACAGTGACGAAGGAACAGAGCCATAAGTACGGAAAACGTCGCAGGTCGACTCCGTGAAGAAAGGCGTTTGCATAATGGCCGCTAAACTCGGATCAGAATTGACGCGTTCAAGCAATTTGCTGGCCGGCTCGCACGGGAGGACATTGTTTACATATTCGTGCACATTGTCCTTGGTGAATCCCAGCACTTCTACGCGACGGTCAAATGGGCATGAGAGAGCCAGTTTTATGACTTCTTTTGAATGGCGTGATGTAAGAATCAAGCGAACACCTTTCAATTCCTCGCCGCAAATAATGCCACGCACAAAATCGCTACAGTCGTCAAGAACCGTTTCATCTAAGCCATCGAATACGAGACAAAGACGCCGCGGGTTGGCATGGATGTAGGATGCAATTTCATTTTGCTCCTTCGGATCGACAATGCCAAGCTGCCTCAAGCGTAGCAGCTCAACTATATCACTTGCGTGTCGAACACTGGGTTCACGCAGCGCCAATGCACCCACAATGTCAAACTCATGCCAGATCAGACCTCTTGCCCAGTCCATAGGACCTTTCAACAAGAATATGGTCGTCTTGCCAGCGCCAGCACATGCAACAGCCAATACACGAACTGATTCGTCTTCATCAAGTTCTTCCCCGTCAAAGTCAAACATATTGGCCAGTTGCACGTGCTGCACTTTGTCCGCGACTCGCGAGAACACATGGCTCAACTTCTGCACATCGCTTTGGGAACCGAAGAAAGTTTGTTCGTTCAGCGAAGCCAGTTCTTCGCGCGGTATCACAACCACATTCACAAAGATCTTATCCAGCGCTCGCCTATTCGGTTTTACACACATACCCTTGCCAATCTGTACTTTAGCACTTACGTAGCGCTTCTTCAGCATCTCAGCTAACCTCTTCACACCATCGGGTAACGATACCGGCGTTGCGCGTGTCCGCGGCGTCGATGAGCACGACGATGCAGGATCATCAGCTTGGCAATCCACCGAGGCAGGGGAATGATGAGCCTGGGAAGAGGAACACGACCGTGGTTCTTCGTCGGGAGATAGCCCATGGCTGGATGTCCGACTCGGAGCAATATTTCCTTGGTTCTCCTCCATTTCACTGAGGTCAATCGAGTGGAAAGGCAGCGAGCACACGACAGTCGCAAAGCCCCTAGCCCAGCAAACTCAAAATAGTTTGCGGGCCAGGGAAAACTTTTGTTTAGGCTGAACACGGAATCGCCGTTATAATACATGTAGATCTATGGCGCAATGTGCGACTAGCTCTCTGTTCGTCTTGAGTCATTTCCTGAATAATGACTTTTCAGACGATGTTTTGCCTCTTGATGATAATTCTAAAGTTTTGGTCACAGACCTTTACGGCTTGTTGTACTTGTACTTTTGTACAGTGTTGGCAACTGAAATCCGACCCCCTAGCGGTGCGCTAGGCGCGTTAGCGATTCGTACGAGACGCTAGGGGGATCGGATTTCAGCTGCCAACAATGTAGTACTACGGTAACATAGTTTGGTCCGGTTGAGCATGGTAGACTACGCGAATGACTGTTGGGACATTCTTCCAAAACATGACGTCACAGAATTCGTAAAAAAAAGGCAACTTTTGTCGCAAGCGGCTAGCCTGTCGCAAGCACGAGACTCATCATGGGCGCGCTCGAGCTGCGAAGCGCGACACACGAGCGCGACCCAAACTGTGTCACGTGTGTATCGAATCTGACCGTCATGGGGCTGTTAAGTGTGACGTCACGGCTCCTTCGATACGCATAGCAACGGAGAGCACTGGGGACAAACAAAAGTCGCGTCCTCTGGATGGAACCAGATGTCAAGGGCAACAGCATCTAAATGACTGGAGAGACAGTTGTTTTTCTTTGCTTTTTCTTCAAGCGATTGTTGTCGCTCTTTACTCCTTGTTCTTTCCTCTACAAAACTCCTGTAGTCGTCGAGTGCCTTCATGATGGCTGTGAAATTGGCTGCCCACAGTAAAACTCCGTGTTTGAGAGTGCTTTGAAGATGTTTCGCGTCCTGATGGATCAAAGTATGAGCGCTCCTTGCGGTATGTGCAGCGATTTCCAATCGATAAGTTGCGGGTTCGATTCCCGACGATTATGGTCACACACGTCTTTCTTCTCTTTCTCAGACTCTTCCTGACTTTTCTTTCATTCTCCTGGGTGGTTACCAACAGCCCGTGTATGCCGGAGTATGTGGTGTGATGTGTGTGCGGGAAAATAAATTTAAAAAAGACCAAAAAGTAGGGATTCACTGGCCAGAAAAAGCCACTTCGTAGCTGTGTGGTGTAGACCAGGCTGAATAGTGGCGGCCAATTCTTCAGCCTTGCAAGCTGTTGAATGGTGCAATCCCAGGCTATTCCCAGCACAAGTTGCTATGGCTTCTGCTGTAGCATCGCTATCATCGCCTCCGGCGATGGGCGTCCAATGGTCCAATGGTCCTTGTGGATTCGATTATATAGGTGAGTTGTTCAAGAAATCAGTGTCTTCTTTCTGTCTCTGGCCTCACGCTGGCACAATATCAGCCTCTATATCCATGACAGCTCGTACCTCCCGTAAACTGCATGACTTAGATATATTTTCGCCCTCCGTGGTGATTGAAGACACATGGAAGAATTTATTATGTTCAGAATGATGTCCTAAGAATATAAAATAAAATAATTCTAGGGAATTGTCATAGGGTATTTTTGGAAGGATGGAGACAGAGAGAGAGAGCACTGTTTGAAGTGTTTGTCTCACTGTAATTACTCCAGATTATTGAATGTTGTATGATCTACTCTATATTTTCCATAATGTTTTTTCCTGATTTGCGGGATCTCTTCTTTTGCTGTTTGCGTGTTTACAGGAAGTGGCTGTCTGGTGTAACTGCACCAGATCCTGGGGAAATTAAGTCAGATGCAGAGGCAGGGTCGTCCAGTGATGCAACACTGCCGTTCTGTGTGCAACGTGACGCTAATACCCCCGGCGAAAACACAAAAAAGACAAACACGTGAAAAGACTACAGTATTGACCGTTCTGCTAATATATGCAGGACTGCTCCGACAGTCGATAATCGAAACACAGAGCACCAGCATGATGTTTTCATATTGGGAACCACACAACAGCTCAATTCTCAAGCCCAAAAATTGATGAATACAAATACAGAGCGACGCAACAAGAGGTCATCCGGCAACCAAACAAACCTGGGTCTAATGCACTGAATAGTCCTGAAATACGCAGGCCAGACAAAGCAGTGCAAGCACATAATGTGGCAACACCGACGCGTGCCTCCTCAGCCGCCTCCGCCAGCTCCAGCCCGACACCAACGCGTGCAGCAGCAGACAGCGCAGCCGCCGTAGCCAGCTCCAGCCCTACCCCATCGCGTGCCGCCTCCACCCCGTCGTCATCGCTGGTGGTGCGTACCAGTGCTGAGTCGTCACCCAGTGCACTGACGGATGAGACGCGGCCGGATCATCCTTGCATCTCCACCAACTCCAGTGCCAGTAAGTTTGGTGGAAAGCTGCGCTGATATAGTAAAATAATATTATACAATCATGTACTTCGTGTTGATGCTTTCTTATCTGATCTTAATATGATAAAAAAAGTTTAAAAAAGTATATTATCGTGTGCGTTCCGGAAGGGAACTCACGACGGCCGCTAACATCCGGTCAACCCTAATAACACCCGGTACACCCTAATAACACCCGGTAAACCCTAACATCACCCGGTAAACCCTAATAACACCCGGTAAACCCTAATAAAAGTAAAAATAAATAAAAAATTCGACGGATTCCTGTACAACATATGCGGTGTTTATGTTTGTGCCATCATCAACAATTATAGCAATAAAAACTGCTTTATGGCAGTTTTCTAAAAAAAGTTATTGTGTTCTAGTCCATGGACCCCGTCTAAAAAGTAAGAAATTAACGAAATGTGATAGCTGAAAATTAAAATTTCACACAAAACCTCACAATAATCACAACACTTGAAATGCTGCTTTGAACACTAAACTTGTACTGCACCAACAATTGGCAACATGCATGCATAGGAAAGAGGATCACGAGGGGAAAAGGTCTTCTGCATGTAGCTTTTCATTCTGTGTGTGATTATTGTGAGGTTTTGTGTGAAATTTTAATTTTCAGCTATCACATTTCGTTAATTTCTTACTTTTTAGACGGGGTCCATGGACTAGAACACAATAACTTTTTTTAGAAAACTGCCATAAAGCAGTTTTTATTGCTATAATTTCTTTTGTTTTTTCTGTCACCAATCAACGGAATGCCCTATTACAATATGTAAATGATGGCCTTCACATCATATCAATACCATATTATACGCATTGATGTGCAAGCCCTTTCTTGCAGAAAATGGCACTAGCATAATGCATGTTCTTCTGCGGGGAAACATGTGAGCAGTGGTGGTGATACTTTTTTTATACGGAGGTCATTCTGTGCATGTTGCTGTTGCAGAATTTCATTACTCTGTCATAAAATTGTCTTGCCTTTCAGATATTTCAGATTTCTCCACCCTCAATCAGATTTATTTGAGAAATGTAGCCATGCACCAGGTGCGTGTCGCAGATGTTTTTGTTGATTCTGTGTTTATAATGGTTTATAGTCATGGGTTATCGTGATAAGGTCATCCAGCATCATATAGAAACTGAAATCGTAATCCTGTTGATGTCGATACAACTTTTGGAAGTAGTTCAATGACTTCAAACTGTTAGTCCACGATTGTCTAAAACAACACAGCAAAGGAGGAACAATAAACATGTATTAAAATGTAACCGAATACATTGCTGAGTCCAAAACCTTGTTCCAACAACTACACTGATCCTGAGGAGGAAAGGGGCAAGGCTATGGTTGGAGGTACTGAGAGATAAACAAGGCACTCCACATCTTTTGGTGAGTATGAAAGATATCTAGTCGAACCTCTTTAGGACCAACACCAAGGGACCGATGGTATTTATTCTGTGAGCTTAACCTATTTTATAACCAGAGAATACAATTATATCTCCAATAGACATACGAATAGATTTCTTCTACAGCGAAAGATTCTAAGCCACACCGACTGATTGACGCGTCCCGTATGAAACAATTGAGTCACTAGTGAGATTCTGCAAAATGAAAATGCGTACAAACTTTCGCTCTACATCATGAAGTGCGAAACTTCGCACCTTTGGACGCGAAACTTGCAGGGAACGTTAAATGAACTGTCGTAGGAAATTTCGTGAGATCGGGTCATGGCGTACGTGCACTTGGCCCGCGCAAACTACGAAAATGTGCAGAACGCAAAGTTCGTGCAAAAATTCGCGCACACCTTCCCAAGGACTGTCGCGAAACTTCGTTCGAATTTTCGTTTTGCAGAACCTCTCTACTGAACGTTTCTTTAGCAACATAACGGCAACTGAACAGCAACAGAGAAAGTACGATACATGTACTCCACATTCTTACAGGTACTACAACCCGTTTGCAGATCGTAATTCTTGCTTTGGCGGCACGAAACATTATTTTGGGGCAGTGCAATCTCGGCGGTACTCACAAATCAAACAGCCCAGACTTGAGTAAACAAATCCAATCATACAAGTACGAGATTTTCACGAGTAGAGACTGCACCCATTGGCTTGTTTCGTATGAAACAAACAAGTTACTGAACCTCTCCACAATAGAGATTTCCCCTGATATGCGAATTTATTTTGCAAACTCGGTCAATTGGTACTTGAACCTTTCCCTCCAGATTGGGAACTGCCAACGATATTATACCACTGACCAGTGCCTTACTTGTAACGTACCAATGTACAATGAATATGAGTATTTTGACAAGACATCTAACATAAGCCTTACCGTCAAGAAGTTGAACTCGCGTTCTTCGCACACTGTAGACAAGGGCAAAGAGATAAAATTGGATCTAAATCCGAATACTTGAAAGTAAAATCAGCACACGTTTCCGTAAATGAAAGGTGAACATAAGCAAATGAATCGAAGGAAACCGGTCAAGTTAGAGATCACCTGGCATCGAGTATTCCGTAAAAGGAGGCCTCACAGCTCGGCAGCAGAAAAGCAAAATTTAGCAAAGAGATCCTGTCAACTTTTCCATTATTTATTGCATTCTGCCCCAAAATCAGCACACTTTTCCTGAATGAAAGAGTCAACACAAGCAAATGAATCAAAGGGAATTGGTCAACTCACCTGTCATTGAGTAATATTCCGCGAAAGGAGGTCTCAGCAGCGCCGAAACGAAATAAGCCAGGCCATGAGACGAAATAACCGAAACAGCTCATGCAAGAAGCAGTTCCAAAGAAGGAAGTTCCTCGCGCATGCACATCCGAACACGGATCCGCGGACTGCATGCACTGAACACAATGTCTGCCGTGCACGTGCACAGCACACGGCTACCAAGCGTTGGTAGATCAAATACCGAGCACCTTACGTAGAGACTTACGTAGCCTAAGTGAAATACCGAGCACCTTACGTAGAAACTTACGTAGCATAGCGATGTCGTTTTTTCTGCCATGTGAACACAATAATAGAAAAGCTGACAGGATCGCTTTTCTAAATAATAGAAAACAGGATCACTGCACTTAGGAGTATCCAAACATAAATATGTAGTTATCCTGTCAAGCAAGATTACATAACCCCATGTACTCTTGTGTCAAAGCACAGGATCTTATTCCTACAAGGGAAGAGGCTGCACAGTACACGTATTATCACAATTTATCAGACGTATTCGGAACCTGTGGTGGACAAAGCCCCATTAGACCATGTACAGACTAGTACAAAGAAAAACGTGTGATGCGTTGATTCGCCGTACACGTGTCGTAATAATCACTGGTGCGTGGAACATTGCATCATAAAAATGACCTTGAAATTGACCTTGAAATTCTGTCGGGACAGCAGGGTGTGTGGGAGTTTCACACTCTTCGGGGGTTATACTCTAGTTTCAGAAACTTTAGGTGCTCAGTATTTTTCGGTATGAGGGCAAAAAGGCCAGGTTAGGCGAACAGAAATGTTAGGTACAGAGAAGCAGTTCCCTATTGGATTACGTGTGTTAGTGTTTGTTCGGTGTATTGAAACTTTAGGTAAGAAACAGACGCACCAAACGTACCGAAAAAAAAGTACACCAACAATTTGTGAAATTACAGTACTCTTGTTGTTGGGTGTTGCCGGTTGAATGCTGTTCACGGCGGATATCCTATGCCTAAATATGGACTTGTATACCGTAAAATTCCGTAAATAAGCCAACCCTAAAAACGCCCATGTCCGATAATAAGCCCAGTTTTAGGCGGTGTACACTTCAAGTCCGTTTTAGCACCCATGCCCGAAATAAGCCCAGGGCGTCAAGTGGACTCAAAATGACCAGCGCGCGAGCGTGCGTTCGAGTACAAACTGTAAAACAGTTGTAGATCGAGTAGTGGAGAACTCAACACTGTCACGGCGCGCGAGGACAGCGATGCTCCGTTGGAATGTAGCAAACTGCCAAAAAATGTGGTTTGTTGTATACTTTATTTATAGTGGAAATCAAAACAGGCAAAATGCCTAATAACATTGGAGGTTTCATGTACCTGTACCGCTCTCAGTGTGAACGGTGGTTCACTGAAACTAGTGGGTTGCTGATAGATTGATCTTCTGCAGATTGCGTCCGAAATAAGGCCCATGCCCTAAAATAAGCCCATGCCCAAATATACGCCCGGTTGCTGACGCTCTGCAAAGTATACGCCCGGGGCTTATTAACGGAATTTTACGGTATTCTGATTGTCTGATCGCTGACAGATACGGACGCAGCGAAGCTCTCTCTGGCGCCCACATGCGCCGAGATCCCACAGCTGTCAACGGATGACACTGCAGCCCAGTCGCCAGCGACAGCGGCAGCTGCTGCTGCTGCTTCGTCAGGAGACGGGAACAGCTCACAAGGCGGCAAGCCACCTCCATCACCGCCATCCTGCCCGCTCTCGGACATGGCCTGTCTCAGCTCGTATGAGATTGATGGCTTGCGACGGCTGCTGGCCGAGCTGAACGTTTCCACGACGATGGTGAGGGCGTGTCCCGAGGAGCTGGGGGATCCTGGGGAGCTCATGTCGACCGTGGAGGTAAGTTGTCGTGTGTAATGTGTGGGTAAAATCGAAGTTATCGAAAATAAATCTCCACCGAAATTTTCCGGTTTTACAGTAGCCTATCTTCAGGGACATTATAATAACTATTGGCGTAGATTTGTGTAATCGTTTTGCCTTGTATTCTCTTGTCAAATGTACACCGTAGATTCTGTTGAACGAGTATGAAAGCCAGTATTCTCCTCTGCAATGTACAAGCATTTTCCTGTGCAATGTATGCTGTATATTCTGTTGAATGAGTATGAATTCTCCTGTGCAACGTGCGCTGTAGATTCTGTTGAACTAGTATGAAAGCCGATTTCGCGAGGGCAAGGCCACTGGATATTTAATGCTCATACCGGGAATACAATCTGAGGTATGGTGTGGTGAATTGCTGTGTGGTACTGCTGCTGCTGCTGCTATTGCTGCTAATAGTGCAGCTATTGCTGCTGCTGCTTCTGCTGTTGCTGATGTTGCTCTCCTCTCCATCCCCACCATCTGCCTCTGGAATATTTGACAGTCGCAACATGTACATGTACATGTAGTAACAGGTATATGTTCATGGTGTTTCTTTCCTTCTACGTGTGTAGAATCTGCGTGTGTCGCCCGCACCAATACCTGACAACATTGTGGAAATAGTGGCAGTTGAAACAGAGATTGTATGCAAGTCCTCAGCTGCTACTGCATCTCCAAGAAAGACAGCAGGTAAGCTACAATGACAGGGGCGTCACAGGGTGGTTGGGAGTGGTACAAGGGGGGGGGGGTCCGGGGGTGTCCCCCGGGAGAGAAAAATTCGGATTTTTCGGCCAACAGGGCACGTTTTAGCGCTCTACAGCCACAAAGGAGGGTTCTCCTAGCACTTATCAGACAACCCCACTCGTACTCCAGCTCCAAAAAATACTTCTCATGGATTTTTTGGTCATTCTTCGTAGGTAGCCAAAGCAAAAAGGAAGCCATTGCCCTCTAAAAAATCGCAAAATCCGAAGTACAAGCGTGCTGCTTGCTGCACGTTCTAGCGCCAGCCGCTGTGCAAAAACGTATGTTATTACCACAATGACGATGATATTGCTTTCACAACAATGACCACAACCTAACTGGGTTATCAGTAGGAGCAGTGGCACAGCCTTACTGCTCCAAGTAGGATTTAGAAGAGAGTGAAGGGAGAGCAGACCGGGCCGGTCTAAGCAAGGAAGTAATCGGCATCAGAGGTGACATCGCAGATCGTCTCGAATTGCGCATCACATCAGCGGCAAAATTGCTCCTGTGCATGCAAGTGGATTTCCTTGCACTTCTCAGTTTGGGAAATACTCGATTATGATATTTCTGCGTGCGAGTGCACTAGCCCTGAACATACATGTAGGTGACCCGTTTGTGGTGTCTCATAGCCTACCTCACGACCTTCTGCTTTCTTTCTGCATCACTTGTATCTTGCAGGTATATCATCTCGTGACGACCACATAAGTCTGAATTTGAAGTGCGAAGATGCTTCAGCAACCACATCGTACTTTTCCATTGCTTTCATTGTGCTTCTACTGTGATGTGTGTAACTTGTGGGGTATATATGTGTCGTGATGACATTGTATGCTGGCGACACGGTCAGATTTTGTCCATGCGTGTAACGTACACCTGCATGTTATGCATTGAAAAGGATCTGCCACTTGCGATCCTGGGACAAGTATCAGGTCAGCTTTGTCTTGTGTGGGCTGTACCAGATTGCTGTTCACTTTTCCATCTGTTGGATATGTGACTTACTGCAAGTTTCTGGTGTATGGTGGCCACTTCTTTGCTTGTCACTTTGTATGATATTACATTCTGTATTCGCTGCTTCCATGGCGTGGTCTGCAAACTGCAATCCTTGGGCAAATGTCATGTTTGCTATGTTATGCTTTGGCCGTCAGCTTGTCTACACGTTGTAGTTGAATTATTTTGTTCCACAACTGACTTCCTTTTAAAAGTACGGTGGCCACTGCTTTGCATGGCATTTTACATGAAGAATTTCCTGTTTGTGTCGTGTACATGTGCGTATGTGTGCGTGTACCGTGTGCATCCGCGTGTTTGTGTATCTGTATGCGGGGCAAGCGAGATGGGGAGGGCTGGTATTTATCAGTGTGTTATCGCAGTCTCATGCCTACATACAGTACATCGCGCGCGTGTTCATCATGTTTACCTTCGGGGTGGGGGTGGGGAGGGAACGGAAAAAAACTGAAATTATCCATATAAAAATCGCTCTGTGAACCGAAAAACCTTTACTGGCGCTGCCCCGTCGTAAAAGTAAGAAATTACAACTGGCCCATTGTCCCCCCAAATGTGAACTGATCCACCTAAATCGGGAATGAGGGGACCCGAACGCACCAGTAGCACGAGGTCGGGAGAGCACAGGATCACAGCACATCATAGGGTAACACCATCACTAGTACATGGTATCAGTGGCAGTGTAACTTTGCTAGTACACATAGTTACTTCCATCGGATATCCAACATGGGAGTTCATCAACGACCATGGCCTGTGGACCAGCGTCCCCAGCTGCATCCACAGGTAGGAACCTGGTTGATTGATTGATTTTATTTGGATTTGCGAGACCAAACGAGCAGGAGTGCTCAATAACAGAGTAGCGAATGGTTGAGTTGTGCTATGTGACAATGTAGTGTGTGCGGAGGCCCAATATGATGTAAGGGGATGGGAGGAGAGAAGGCCAGCGGAGAGTCAAACTCAGAAGAGGGAGGAGAGAATAACTGAAGTACACATTTACTGTGCGAATTCAAATAAACCAGACAAACAGCAAAACGAGTACACAACTCACGAGAATAAAGAGGACTGGAGCACAGAATTGAACGGGAGGCAGTCTACGAAGTGGTGGTACCACCGGTGCATGCACCACGGTACATTATCACATTATCGGCTTTGCAAAGTTCGTGGGTACTGAATACCATGGTATGGCCAACTATGTAGCAGTCTACAACGACTTACGTGTAGGGAATGGCAGCTTGGCGGAATGCTGGGATGTTGCCCATACCTCGCACCGTGTCATGTATATGGTTCCATAACAGGCAACCGCGAGATGCCGGTCGGCATTGGCCTGCTCGGCTTCTGGCTATTGGTTGTTGTAGGCCCAGACTGCGCTGAAGGGGAGTTGCTCCGCAGTTGCGAACAAACAGTGCCTGCAGAGCAGGACTGGCACGGCTATGAACACACCGCCATACCAGCACGAGTAGTTTCTGGCGATATACCTCGTCCATGCGATAAACAGAGAGCCTCTCCAAGAGATCACTGGCCCTGGTAAATCGTGGTCGTCCGAACACCGCCCTTGCTGCGCGGTTTTGGGCCACCTGCAAGCGGTTTAGCTGGTTGTGGGTCAAGCCGGAGCCATATGCTGACGATCCATATATCAAATCCGGCATGATGACAGATAGGAAGTACTTGCTTCGACTAGCTAGAGTGAGGCAGCGTCGCGCCCGCCACAGACTACCGATCTTCCTAGCAGTGCGTGAGATGCACCGGTCAACTTGCGGTTGCCAGGTCATTCGTTCATCGATTAAGACGCCGAGGTATTTCGCGCTGGTGGTGTGCGGAAGCACATCATTTCGACAGCGTACACCCACGTCCGGCTGCTGCCCACTGCTGCTGGTAAAAACCAATACATTACTCTTCTTTGCATTTAATACAAGACCACGAGCGTCCAGCCAACTTGAGAGGGAGGTAACCGCCAAGCTGAGCGCATCAGACACGTCTTGCGCTGTCCGTCTTGCACATGTCAGGGCGATGTCATCCGCAAACTGCAGTGATGATGCCGGCGCAGATTCCGAGGGGATATCTCTGGTGTATATGGGGAACAGCATGGGTCCTAGTACAGAGCACTGCGGCACACCACAAGTGCACCATTGTGCTACTGCTGCGTTCGGGTCACGTCATTTGCGATTTAGGTGGATCAGTTCACATTTGGGGGTACAATGAGCCAGTTTTAATTTCTTACTTTTACGACGGGGCAGCGCCAGTAAAGGTTTTTCAGAACCGCTCACAGAGCGGTTCAAGTTATATGGATAATGTAAATAATACTCAATATGCTACCTGTGGTGTGGTGCAAGCTCAGCACTGAGCTAAATCAAACTAAATCAAACATACAGCCTACACAGCCTCTAATGGCCCTCTATACAGTGCTGCGATGGCAGAACTTCTGAAGTTCACATCACCTTTCTTCCTCCAGCTATGCCTGTGACACCCTTTGTGAATCAAACACTAGTGGCAGGCCACGCGAAAATGAGAATGCGCGCAGCCAAGATTAGGCCATCATCTCCTTCATCCATCATCCCGGCGGTAACTCCGCCCGTTCAATATCCAACACCAGTCCCCAAGAAAGAATAAGGCACGAGATTTCAAGTTCAAGGGCAAAGCTAAAGCCAATGGCACTGATTTTTGGAATTGTCGAGTAGAACGAAAATAAATAATCGAAGGCGATCATAATATAATGACGGTCAGATTCGACACACACGTGACACAGTTTGTGTCGCGCTTGCGCTTCGCAGCTCGAGCGCGCCCATGATGAGTCTCGCGCTTGCGACAGGCTAGCCGCTTGCGACAAAAGTTGTCTTTTTTTACTGCGAATGACTGTTGGGACATTCTTCCAAAACATGACGTCACAGAATTCGTAAAAAAAAGACAACTTTTGTCGCAAGCGGCTAGCCTGTCGCAAGCGCGAGACTCATCATGGGCGCGCTCGAGCTGCGAAGCGCGACACACGAGCGCGACCCAAACTGTGTCACGTGTGTATCGAATCTGACCGTCATGGGGCTGTTAAGTGTGACGTCACGGCTCCTTCGATACGCATAGCAACGGAGAGCACTGGGGACAAACAAAAGTCGCGTCCTCTGGATGGAACCAGATGTCAAGGGCAACAGCATCTAAATGACTGGAGAGACAGTTGTTTTTCTTTGCTTTTTCTTCAAGCGATTGTTGTCGCTCTTTACTCCTTGTTCTTTCCTCTACAAAACTCCTGTAGTCGTCGAGTGCCTTCATGATGGCTGTGAAATTGGCTGCCCACAGTAAAACTCCGTGTTTGAGAGTGCTTTGAAGATGTTTCGCGTCCTGATGGATCAAAGTATGAGCGCTCCTTGTGGATTCGATTATATATAGGTGAGTTGTTCAAGAAATCAGTGTCTTCTTTCTGTCTCTGGCCTCACGCTGGCACAATATCAGCCTCTATATCCATGACAGCTCGTACCTCCCGTAAACTGCATGACTTAGATATATTTTCGCCCTCCGTGGTGATTGAAGACACATGGAAGAATTTATTATGTTCAGAATGATGTCCTAAGAATATAAAATAAAATAATTCTAGGGAATTGTCATAGGGTATTTTTGGAAGGATGGAGACAGAGAGAGAGAGCACTGTTTGAAGTGTTTGTCTCACTGTAATTACTCCAGATTATTGAATGTTGTATGATCTACTCTATATTTTCCATAATGTTTTTTCCTGATTTGCGGGATCTCTTCTTTTGCTGTTTGCGTGTTTACAGGAAGTGGCTGTCTGGTGTAACTGCACCAGATCCTGGGGAAATTAAGTCAGATGCAGAGGCAGGGTCGTCCAGTGATGCAACACTGCCGTTCTGTGTGCAACGTGACGCTAATACCCCCGGCGAAAACACAAAAAAGACAAACACGTGAAAAGACTACAGTATTGACCGTTCTGCTAATATATGCAGGACTGCTCCGACAGTCGATAATCGAAACACAGAGCACCAGCATGATGTTTTCATATTGGGAACCACACAATGACGGTCAGATTCGACACACACGTGACACAGTTTGTGTCGCGCTTGCGCTTCGCAGCTCGAGCGCGCCCATGATGAGTCTCGCGCTTGCGACAGGCTAGCCGCTTGCGACAAAAGTTGTCTTTTTTTTACGAATTCTGTGACGTCATGTTTTGGAAGAATGGCCCAACAGTCATTCGCGTACTGGTACTTGGTAGACCTGGTAGTGGTAGACGTAGACCGCTAAATGCATGTAGACTGTCCACATAGTCTAGACTGTCCCTCTGCTGCTGCCGTGCATGCAGGGTTTTACATGTAGATCAGAGAGTCGTAAAATACCGGTATTTTACGACTCCCTGGTGTAGATTTTGGGAAGATCTACCAAGTCGTCATCAATGGTCATGGTCCTGGCAGCGCACTGCCACTACTAGTACTAGTACTAGTAAAGTAGTAGTAGTACCAATGCAATGCCAATGGCAATGACTACTGACACTGAGTCTGTCACTGTACTACATGTACAGGTCAGTGTATGCAGTCTGTCTACATGCTGTCCGTTCTGGGGGCCGCGCCGCGCCGGTGAGCTGTCTTTACTTCGCTGCCTCGATCTCCCCTCGCCTCGGTCTCCTCCTGGACTCGGTCTTGGTGACTCGGATCCAGTCCTGGCAGTAACCATGGTAACTGCGTACCGCCCTACCATGATGTGCATGCCTACTCTACTGACTGTGCTTCCCAAGTGGTTGTCTACATCCTGTACATCGCAGTACTGCAGTCATCATGGTCATGGTGTCACGTGTGGAGCGTCCCCGACCGAGACGATACGGCTGTCTGCTTTGGCCGTGGATAGGTGATCTGAGTGTTTGAATGAAGCGCATTTTGTCTCCTGTGGCTGTGCTCCAACAACAACTGTTACTTCCACTAACTATTATTCGCCATGGCATGCGTCTACTACTACTAGTGTAGGCCATGACATGGCTACACGTAAATGATAATGACCGCGTTAGTGTGTTTTCACCTCCAGCTCTATGCTTGCAGTCTGCATCATGAACATACAGTAACTGTTTTTAGGAAGGAAAAAGGACCAATGAACTGCAAGGCAGGCTATAATTTAGTAGAAAATATAATGTCCACAAATACCACCCGGTTTTCATGTACTTGGTAATCAGCTTTAATATGCGATAAAATTGCACGACACTGACCAACGGTACTGACGTTCTACAACTAACTTCCAATCAGCTCTGGCAC